TTTTTAATACTTCGAATAACGAAAATTTAGCTGAACTTGTATTTTTAACATGTAGCTCATTTTGGTGGAACGAATTCCAAGTTGGCAAATTAAATCCTCGAATGCTTCTTAAGTACATATCAGTAGTAAACTTTTTTAGGCTGTAAAGTTTAAAAACCAACAGTAAGTGAGCATGCATTGCATATTTTTAGGACAATGTTTTCATTCGCAATTAAACTTTAAAGAGCTCTCAAGAAAAAAGAAAAATTCTTACAAAATGACGCACAAGAAATGGAAAAGAAATTTTTTTCTATCAAAATTTCTTAAATCATAATAAATTTAACCCCAAAACCCACCCCATGTGTGCGCTACGTGATAAATTAGATATGTAAAAGTAAACGCACAATGTTTAATTTTGCACACACTAGGAGAGGAAACTGGTTACCTCTCTTTATATGCGTAAATTTAAACGAAGTTTTTTTAGAGGAAATTTTAAACATTTTATGTGTAAACTATGAAAATGTGAACAATAAATGTTTAAAACTCAAAAAACAAATTTGAAATTTGTTCTACGCCACACATATGATATGTAAAAGTAAGCAAGCAGTGTGTAAATTTGCATTCATTAAGAGAGGAAACTGGTTACCTATCTTAATATGCGCAAATTTAAACAAAAATTTTTTAGAGTGTATAACTCAATGAAATGAGGAATTTTTACATTTTCCGTGGATTTTTGAAAAATTCTTCTAGAGCTTCGTCAACTCATACATGCTAGATCTTTGAGCCTTTCTTGACCTTTTGTATTTCTCAATTAGGTCTAATTCTTTTCAGGCATAAAAAATTCGTTCAGGCGTAGCTATTGAAATGGGAAAAATATGGAAATATGTAAATTGAAAATTTTTACTTTTTAAATCTAATCAATTTATTAAATATCTTACATTTAGAATTAAGTGCTACCCTATTTAGAAATACGCCAGGATCGAGAGTACATATTTTTATTGTATGTGTGTGCATACACATATATGATCTATTAAATGAATATAATAAGAGATTTTATTACAAAAAAAAGGCAAACCTCATGGAAAATATTTCTGGATTCAAATTCTCAAAAATACCTTTAATTTGATGTTTATATTAAATTGTTTTAGTTTAATTTTGTAATATCGAAAATAAGTGGCAACCTTGCAGATATATCCTAAGGGAGAACACTTATTATAAAAACAAATCATATTTTAAGAGATATATTTTAGTATCACAAATAGTAATATTGTATCCTAAATTTCTAAACAAAATAATTAATAAATATATGATAGAAAATAGGTGGCAACCCTATTCAAAAATATTTCTGAATTGGAGTTTTTTTTTAAATACCGAGATTATGATGTTTTGTTTTATTTGCAAATAATTGAAAATAGGACACAACCTTATACGAATATCCTCGGAAATAACACCAATGCAGATAACCTTAAATTGCAAACGTTATCTGAATACAAAATTGCATCAAAATCGTTAGAGCCGTTTCCGAGAAACCTATGGATATATATATTAGGGTAAACCAAAATAACTAACCTTACGAATTTATGGTCTTAATAGGATATTTTTACTTTCCCATTTGGAAACATTTTTATTCCTATTTTAAAAGGTGTCGGCGGGCATATGAAATCTTCCATATAAATAACATGTAAAAAGTTTGTTTTCATTAAAAATTTTATAACTATTGAACCGTTTGGGATAAAAGTTTATTCTTGTAGGACATTCAATTCTCTAAAAAATAGTTTGAAGTTGATTGTCTGGACTAAAAAATGTATATACTTATGGCTTTATGACTGGAAATATTCATGCTAAATGAATGTGTAGAGCATGTTGATTATAAACTAGATTTGACATAATATTCTTTTTAATTATTAAAAAAGTCAGTTCGTTGTAGTTACGATGTTGCTAGTGATGTAATTGTTTTACTTGCAAAAGAAATTGCTTTTGTTCTTCGTCTTACCTCAAAGTTCGATTATAATTTTGTATCAACGCTATTCCTCGTTCAGCAATATCATAAACATATTTAATACTCTTAATTGTCTTTAAGAAAACCAACTTCAGGGTAATTTTTTTGAAAATTGAATGCCATACAAGAATATGCCTAGAAAAAACGTGTATCCCTTTTTTATAACTTTTTTTAACGGTTCAAAAGTAATAACATTCTTAATGAAAACAAATTTTTATTTATATGGAAAATTTTAAATTCCCACCGACACCCTTTAAAATTTAAATACAATTTTTTTCAGATAATTTCCTTCTCAGTAAATATGTAAGGCCATAAATTCGTTTGGTTAGTTATTTTAGATCACCCTAATATATATATAAAAGAATTACTCGTTCCCGCAAAACACACAAAAAAGAGATTCTGGATCCGCCGCTGCTTGCGTTGATATGATATGATATATATATGACCCAGTTCCAATTTATTACAAATTGATAAAATCGATTTCAAATTTGCATTTTCGCAGTAGAAATTGTAGGTCTATGTTATGTATGTGATATGATATGATATAAATATGACCCAGTTCCAATTTATTACAAATTGATAAAATCGATTTAAAATTTGTATTTTCGCAGTAGAAATTGTAGGTCTATGTTATGTATGTATATGTTACATTGAATGAAAGACGTGGTATATTTAGAAAAGTTTTCTTATTTGATATCTATGTAGCTAAAAGAAAAAAGTATGTGATGCGACAAGCAAGGGCTGCAGCTGGGGCCATACTTAAATTTCTCATTAAATAATGAGCCGCTATTTTTAACTCTGAAGGGAAATAGTCATATACAGATTTAACGATCATTAGTTAAGTGCCCGCTAAATTTAATTTAAGGCGGTTTGTTCAATGCCCGATTAACACAAATCGAAGGTAGAAGCTCCGGTTAATTGCAATCACTGCTTTATTGATCACATGTTATATGCATGATGTCGAAAACGTCGAAAATGATGTACAGGTGGGAGGTAGTAATAAGCAGAAATTAACCAACTGGCCTTTAATGAATATTTGTGATTGCGGCTGTAAGACTAATGAAAATTTAACTCTCAACATTGATACAAACAGGGCCGTTTTTCGAATGCCTGTCACAGGCAGTCGAGGAAACGGCCCCACAGAGTATTAGATACGTACATGTATGTACATTTAAGGTGCTCTTATTCAAGTTTAAGCTTTATATTAAGGGACAATTAAACTCAATGCATCGAGTGTGATACGATAAAAAGTGCATAGGCGTAGTTATTGTCCGATTTAAATTCAACGTCCTGCTGTATGTCTATATCTATCTCGGATGAGTTGGCCTGTTACAAACCTAACGTATGTACAAGTGTGCTCATGTATGAAGACGAGTAGCTTTCATTCAGTAAACGAAAATGTCTAACTTGCGCAACTTAGCTGAACGTTAGTTTATTACTTTATATTAGTCAACTTAATATATTTTAATTTCAAAATAAGTATTGTGTATATATCAGGGACCGTAACCGTTATGATTTTTATAATAAAAGTCATAATTAAATCGTTATTTTGTGAGATCTATTTTTTCGATCATTTTTAATGGATATTTAGTGATTTTTATTTTTTTGATCATCTTTAATGGTTATTTTATGATTTTTTCGATAATTTTTAATCGTTATTATGTGATTTTTATTTTTTCGATTATCTTTAATCGTTATATTATTGTTTTAATTTTTTCGAACAAAAATAACGGTTGTTCGTGGTTTCTTATAAGGTGTAAATCGAATGTGCACAGATTTGACTTTAAAATAAATTTTACAAGTACATACGTTCACATGTATATGTATACATACATATGTAAGTACCCAGTAGAAATCGGTTGTATGCATTCATGAAGAATGCTTGCTACATGAGTGAATTAGTGTAGTCATAAATTTTCACAAATAAATTGAGATTCTAGCGAACTGCAAGCGAACATACGTTGTTGTTGTTTTAAGTACATTTCTTGATAAATTTTAAGTGGAATTTTTGTAATATTTTCAGTCTTGTACAAAAATTTTAGTGAACGGACGTGTTGAGCGATACTATTTTCAGCACTAACGGGCTTTTACAGGATATGCATTTGCATAAAGGTTTAAAGGTTCGTTTCAACCAATTTTCAATAGATAAATATATATACCAACTTTTTTTTCTTTTTGTTAAACATGGTAATAGCTAGCATGTTTGTGTACCATGTGACAATATGAAATATAAAGGCAACCCATCTCATTTGACAGGCACTTGACTCTTAACCTTGCGCGTTGTTGCACTTGACACTTGACACTTAAACTAGCGCGTTATTTTTTTGTTTTTCGAACCGTTGAACCTAACCGAAACCCCGGTTCAAAGACCAAAAAGACCGCTTTGACGAACCAATCCAAAAGTGCAAAAACCAGTTCGAACCGCTGTACCGAACCGACCAAATTTTTCATCCGGTTCACGTCCCTAGTATTTAATATACCAGTTTGGGTACTAAATACTCAAATCCTTAATATCTGGAGATGTCTAATATTCAAGTAACCAAGACTTAGGTATTTAGGAGTTGCTAAATTCTCAAGTAAAAAAAAATTAGGGGTTTATGAGTTGGTAAATAATAAAGTAAAAAATACTTTGCCATTTAGGAGCTGTTAGATGCTAAAGTAAAGGCGCTAAATACTCTAATCCAAAGTACTCGGAGACTTTGGAGATGCATAATACTTTTACTAAAGTACTAAGGTATTTATGACGGTCTGATTATGGCAACTTAACGTAACTTTCGGGTATCTCTTAAAAATTCTGTTGAATGGGTGTTGCTTATAATTGAAAAGCCGAAGCTTAACGTAACTTAATGCCACGTCGAAATCTGTTTAATTTTGATTCTCTAAGTTCTACGTTCCGTTAAGTTAAGTTAAGTTGCCATAATCAGGCTTTTAGATGGCTAAATATGATTTAGCAAAAAATTTAGGAAAGATTTTCGATACTACTTCGGGATTCCCGGGAAAATTTCATGATTTTCGGGACTATTTCGAAATTTTTGTTATATTTGTCGATCTTGATATCGATATATTTATCGATAAATTTAATGGTTTTGCAATGTTATACTTATCGATACTTATCGATATTATTATCAATGCTATAATCGATATGATTATCAATATACTTATCCATATAGGAATCGGTATTGTTATCGATATAATAATCGGTATAGTAATCGATATTTTTATCGAAAAATGTATCGATATTGTTATCGATATACTAATCGCTACTTTTATTGTTATATTTATCAATATTGTTATCGATACACTATTAATGATCGATATTTTTATTGCACTCAATATATTTAGTCTCTGAAAAACCTTAATAATCCCTACAATGGTAAAAATCTCTAGAAACCCCAAAGTAGTCTCGAAAATCCCGAAATATTCCCTATAATATCGAATATTCTGAAATAGTATCAAAAATGTCGAAGTATGTAGAAGTATTCTCGGGGAATACCGAAATATTTTTGTACGCGGCAGTTAGTGAAGCCAAAGTCTCAATGTACTTTTGTGCGCGGTGTTGCGTTAGGTGTAACTAACTAAATACTTTTAGACTAAGTATTTAGCGCAGTGAAAATAAGTAAATATTTACTAGTTTACTCGGTATTTAGTAACAACCAAAATACTTAAGTAAATAGTACTTTGGTACATACCTAAATATTTAACACTTTTAGTAGATCAAATTTTGCCCATAACTGGTATCAATAATGCAATCATCTGCAATGAATCAAAGAATTTTTGTTTTCATTTTCCTGCTGAACTTTTTTTGTGGTTATTGAGGTTACCTTAGGTCTACGTTTGATGCTTTAGTTGTCAACACTACAAGTTTTTTTTTGGTTTTCTATGATCAGAGAAGATTAATAAAGTAAAGAATAATGATTATTTTTGATCGAAAAAATAAAAACCATAAAATAACGATTATTATAAATAACGATGATCGTAATTATGTAAATCGAAAAATAACGATTATATTTATTTTAAATAAAAATCCCTTATGATAACGATTATTTTCGGTGCCTGGTATATATCGTCGCTACCATGTAAAACTATCGAATGTGAAAATGGGTACTTTTCAGGAGATCAAAAAAACCGTTGTATAAATCTTGTGGGATTCGACACCTTATTAAAGCCAGTATCCTCTGCTTCTCAGAAGCCTAAAAATTCGACGATTTTCCAGCTTACGTATCATTCTAAATGCATGCACCTTGCGTAAATGAAAAAGCATTTTAGCACATTCGATAGTTTGACATGGTAGCGACGATATGTACATACGAATCCGATTAACAAGGAAAAAATTGGTTTTTCTTTGTTATACAAAAAACAAACCTTATTAAACATATTGTCGTTTAAAGTGCAACACCGCGTATCAACAAAATGCAACACCGCATATCAGCAAAATGCAAAACCGCGTATGTGAAGTTATAGAAATTATTTTCTAGAGCGTAAAAACGCTCATATTTCAAAATGGTTGTCTTTTTTATAAAGCAATCGAATTTCTGGCTTGTATATTTCAGGACGAATAGATAAATGTTGAGCCAAGAGCTTGTGTGAGCAAATCCAATTTTTGGCAGCCAATATCAGTTATGCGGTTATGCAGAATGACGATACGCGGTTTTGTACTTTAAACGACGATATACATATATGCATATATTTACACACATCTGTATATATAGGTACATATGTATATAAAAATATGTGTATGCAGTTCATTAGACTGAACTTTCGTTAAAGTTCTTTTGAGTTATTTTATTATAAAATTTTTAGAAGGCAATTAATAATTATGCATCACATTTTGTTTGGTTGTTTTAACATCAGTATGTGCCCCTCTTTATTAGGATATTTAATTTCAAACTGAATCCATAGCATGCAGCATAAACATAAATACACGAGACATATATATTTTTGCGAATTAATCATAAAATGTTGATTAATTAAACTCCAAGTTCTATCTAACGCATTCCCCACAAATACATGTATAACAAGTAAGAAAGCCTAAGTTCGGGCAGAGCCTTACGCCTTACCGAAAGCTACGGCTATATGGTAAGCCGGGGCGTATCAATTTTAAGTAAATTAGAGTCCTTAGATTTCGAAATTTTGAAGTTTCAAGCAGTTCTGAAATTTACCGTTATATGAGAAGCGGCCGTTATTTTAGTCCGATTTCAATAATTTTCAACGGTTTGCTTATATGTGGCAAGCACAATAACCACACCGAGTTTGGTACAAATTGGTAGAACGGTTACTGAGACACATATATGTGATCATAAGTGGGCGGTGCCACGCCCATTTTCCAAAAATTTATCACAAACGTATTTCTTGGTAAAGAATTGTTGCAAGCATCAGTTTTGAATAAATTAGCTTCGATATTTACTGATTTATCGAAGATTTTGTATTTCTCTAAATTACCGTTATATGGGATGTGGGCGTGGTTATCGTCCGATTTTAAAAATTTTAGGCGATTTTGTATGCTGTACGAAGGCCGACAATTGTGCCAAGTTTGGTAGAAATTGGTACAGCGGTTACCAAGATATACACATGTAACCATAAGTGGGCGTGGCTACGCCCATTTTCCAAAAATGTATAATATTATTATTTTTTGTCAAAAAATTATTGTAAATACCAATTTGGAGTGATTTATCTTCAGTAGTTACTAAAATATCGCAGTTTTCGTATTTCTGGAAATTACCGTTATATGGGAAGTGGGCGTGGTTACAGTCCGATTTCGCCCATTTTCAATAGCAACCTACCTTGGATTAAGGGAAACCTACATACCAAATTTCGTTGAGATATCTCAATTTTTGCTCGAGTTATCGTGTACACGGACAGACGGACAGACGGACGGACAGACAGACATGGCTTAATCGATTTCTTTTTTTATCCTGATCAATTATGTATACATTTGTCTATATCTATCTCGATTCGTTTTGGCTGTTACAAACAACCGTTATGTGAACAAAGTTAATATGCCCTTGTGCACAAGTGCGCTCGGGTATAAAAAGTTATTATGTCTCTGCTCTCTCTCCATTTAAATACCAACATTTATGCCTCCTGGAGGCATTCAAGATGTTGATTTCTACCACATTCTACAGCTTAAAATGTGTTGGTGAACTTATTTGATCTACTGAGAGGATCATCATATTTTTAATATTCGCCATCTCCGATTCTAGCCGCGCCAAATGAGACTTAAGTATATGTTCTCGTTCCGAAACGGACACCCCAACCACTGCTGTATTTCCACAATTCGCTGTGTCCACTTTTTGTTGCAATTGTGCTGTCCAATCAGTGCTACCGATCGAGATTCCGGAATCGCGTTCATCGCTCGAATTGTCCCCATTATCTGCCCAAGCGGGTGGTGAAGCTCGATTGCTTACTGGCTCCTGTTTAATGTGCTGAAGCGCCAGCAGCGCTGTGGCAGCAGCATCTTTGTCACCTAAATGAGATTTGTGCCTTAACTTGAGCGGTAGGCAGTTGTTTGAATCGGTACTGCTAGGGCTGGTGGTGCTAATATTTACGACACTGTTATGATCTACATCATCCCCACCGTCAGCTTCGTGTTCATCATCCCCGGAGATAACTCCTGAAGAAGAAGTTGAAGACAGAGACGAGGACGTGGTGGATGATAGCATATGTTCATATGCTGGCGAGTAGATGCGACGAGAAAGATTAAGAATGCTACTGCCAGCGTTTGTGTTGCCATAAGTAACGGTGGATGAAGAAACTGACTCTACTGCACTTGAACTAACATTGTTGAATTCGGGTGATTTCGCATTATACTCGTTTTCTAGATTTTGTCTGGATATGGATACATGTTCCTTTGTGCTGTAGGAATATATATTGCTCGGATGTGGTGGCAAGTAGAGGGGTGCCGTTGCCGTTGTATTATACAGTGGAGAATCTGTGGGTTCTCCTGCATCATTTCTACTTATAGCAGCACCTACCACGGCTACAACTTTACGCAAGTTATCGAGATCATCGCAGTTAACGTTGCGATTGGGCGGCTCCAAAACATGTGAACTCTGCAAAGTGGACGGTGGTGGATGTTGAGGTGGTGCTGATAATACCATATGCCCGGCACTCTGTGCATGTGATGTTGTGTTAACAGTGAGGTTAACGTTGGTTAATATACTGGAATTGTTTGGTCTAGACATGTCAGCAGAATAGTTTTTGTTAACTGACAGGTGTGGTGGTGGCTGATAGCGTTCGGCGCTGAGGTGTACCTGCGAGGAGGATAACTGCATATGAGCTACTGATGAGATCGGGTGTGTATGAGAGAGTGTAGTGGGTACATTTGCATGGCTATTTTTGATAACCGGTTGCAATGGCTGTTGAGAAGTTTTACACATTAAGTCGTTGTCCTTATTCAATGCGCTGTTGGGATCAATAGTGCAAACCTGGTTTAGGGTATTCGATTTCTGGGGTGTAAGTATACCACTCGATGATGGCGTTTGTAGTACTGGTGTTGTAGTAAGAGGGCCCTCTGAACCATTTGTAGATGAAAGCCCAGGTATGCCATAAACAATGGAGTTGGGTACAACGGTTGTGGCACCGATGAAACCGCCAGTCATTGTCATCTTGGCACGTTTTGTAATATTTAAGACTTGCTCACTTGTCGGTAATGAGGCCAATATCTGTTCAACGCTAACTAAATTTTCACCGGTTATGTTGAATTTGTCTTTAATAGCATCTAATTGTGCCTTTAATACGTGATTCTCCTTTGTTAGCTCAACAACTCTCTGCTCCAAGACCATGTCATTATAACGTCGTTTTTCGCGACTACGCTTGGCCGCTTCGTTGTTACGGCGACGACGATCCCAATAGCTGTCATCCTTTTTACTATCTGGCGTAAATTCTCGCTGCTTGCGTTGCGTGAACAGCTCTTTATGCGATTGTGACTGTTGTGATGATTTGGATATGTTATGAGAGTCAAATGAGCTATTGGAGCCGCTGAAGCTGCTCCGATATTTTGTTCCATTTACTTGTGAAATGTTGTCTGGTATACTGTGGCCACTATCACTGGATTGTGGGCTAATTGGACCGTACATGGAATAGTAGTGAACTGAAATCACAAGAAAGATATAAATTTAAAGATTGTAATTACTTATGTATGTATAAATGTTCATCACAAGAGGCAACTGATTCTTTATAAGTACTTACCGTTGTTTGCATCATTAGAACTTCCGTTTAATGAAAGCGTTGGTGAAATGGACGGCAAGCGTACGTTGTGCATTGTTGGTGGTTTTAGGTCTGAACCTGCTGCTGAAAAACGTATACTGTTGGCGCTCTTGTAATGATTATTGTTTAAAGCAGCAACCCTAAGGATCTCAGGCATATCCCGAACAATGCTTCCACTACGTAAAACCTCAGTATTCGTAGAAGAGGTGGTGGCATAGAGAAGTCGCTCTTGCCGTTGTAGAGTGATCAAGTCCACAACGGAGTTGCGTTTGGTATATTGTTGTTGCAAGAGCTCTATTTGTTGCTGATTAAAATTGTTTTTTTTATTGTAGATATCAGTTCTTTTGTTGTCAATATTGTTGGCATTGAAAGGTGCATCTAAAAGGAAGCGAGGGTGTAGACTATTATACATATATTATTATATTATATATTAGGTTTATGTATAATTACATATGAAAGATACAAAAAAGGTTCATCGGCCAATATCTTATGAAATAAATTTAATAGGAAATAGTTGATGATAACGATTTCCATATTTAAAATAGACTCAACTAATATTCGGTTTATCGTACCTGCGTACGCCCATGGCAACGAATGACGTAATTTTTAATATAACTAACATTTTGTCAAGTAATCGTAACGCGAGTATGTAATAGAGGGCTGCATGAATTCATTCAAACTTCCAGCCAAACAGAGTACAGTAGATTTGAAAATTTTACTTCACATACAAAACACTCAGCGTTTGGAATTTTGTAAGTTATGAATACACATTTTGTTTTAAATTTCCTACCTTAAAATGGGAGAATGTGAATGAATGAATGGAAAACATTCAAATCATTCAAACTCATTTCGGTAAAAGTTTTTTTTCTACAAACAAGTTTGTTCGTATTGTAATAGGAGCGCAGCAATACATACATACCCACCATGCAAAACATAAGAAATAGGCAAAAATCGTCAATGGCAACAAATTGGCAACTCCCCGATTTATTGCCGTTGTGAGAAATCGGCAACATTATTACTATCATGTCATTTTAGGAATGTGTTTACAAAAATTCCCAAACTGATGAACTTCGCGTCAACAGGATTCTTCAAAAACATATAATTTATGCCCAAGACAGGGTTGAAAAAATAGGAAGCTCCATAGCGACGAACATAGTTAATTTCCTTTACAAATTATAAGTTTGTGTTCAAAAAGAAATTAAATATTAAGAAAGAGGAAACTTTTGCAAGAAGTTATTATTCGCCTGTAGCAATAATAGAACGACTCATTCAGGTAATAAGAAAACGACTCGCCTAGGCGAGCTGCCTGCGGCGGACGTTTTAAAGCGACTGGTAATAAGAAATCGATTCGATGGCGATATTGCCGGCAATAAATTTGTTGCTGATGGCGACAAGTTTTCTTATTTCCGGCAACAAAAATTGTTTGGTGGGTACATAACCAGCCAGCAGAGAAAAGTACTTTTTGCCAAAAGTGCAGTTTTCGTACATTTTTCGTATCCGGAAAGGTTCAGAAAACGATTTCAATATTTGTTAATTTTTCGTATCCGAAAAATGTCATCTTATTTCAAAACAATAATTTTAAAATATTTGTTCAAACTGAGCATGATACAAAAAAGAAGGTAGTTCCATTTAATGACATTCGTTGTTGTTGTTAACCATTTGACTTTTAATAAAATTATGACATTTCATCAAATTCATGCTACCTGATCACTAGAAAAAATATTTTTTTGAAAGCAGAAGATTTTATCTGTACATTCAAAGATGTGGAATATGATGGACTTTAAAATTATACCGCCTACATAATTTCGAAAATGGGGTTGATGACTAGGGTTCAGAACGCATGAGGAAAGTGATCAAAATTATACTTACATATCGTCATTTATACTACGTTCAAATTGGCCCCGTTTAACTTGTTAAATGAAAAAGAGCTTTTTGGAAAACACAATCGTCCACATTGAACATTTGGAGTTAACCTTGACGGTTGTTTGATTACCAATAACAATTCGAAACAAATATTCAAAATAAAGTCTTTGTGTTTCAATTTGTTTTGTGCGAATGTCTGCTTCTTGATATTAACGCATACGGATAACTTAGAGACTTCAAAATGTTTAGTTCGTATGCACTATTTATCTCTGCGTACGATGAGACCTCATGGGAAATAACTAATTACCGCCTGGGCCTCTTTTTAGACAGGCAGACATGCATACAATTATGATATTTTTTGATAATTTTTAATTTTTAATAATTTCCTGAATATAAATTTTTTGAACGTTGGCGTGTCAAATGAAAGCTTTGGGTCTTTCTGATTGGCCGGAGCAGAAAGCTTTCTGATACAACTCTGCGCTGAACTGGTTTTCAAACGAGTTAAAGATTTAACCGGTTAAATTATCCAACAACAATTGCATGGGATTTAAATAGTTTATGAACTTCTTTTGTTCATTTAACTGGTTCAAGCCCATTTAACATGTTTAGCTCGTCAATTTGAACGTAGCATTAAAGTACAAAACCGCGTATCGTCGTTCTGCAAAACCGCGTAACTGACATTTTTTGCCAAAAATTGGATTTTCTCACACAAGCTCTTGGCTCGAGCCTTATCCGTCCGTCCAGAAATATGCTAGCAGGAAATGCGATTGATTTATAAAAAAGATAATAATTTTGAAATATGAGTGTTTTTACTCTCTAGGAAATAATTTATGCAACTTCACATGCGCAGTTTTGCATTTTGTTGATACGCGGTTTTGTACTTTATACGACGATATGTTAATTGTTTATTGGAGGGTGGTCTGTTTAAGCCGACTTCAGGTTTTTTGCATACATTAGAAACTTTAAGTTCAAAATTTGTGAAAGCTAATTTGTTGCAAAATCTGATGAGAAAATTAAAAGTAAATTTAAACCAAAATATAAAAAGGTTTTATTTGGGAAGAACATTCTTAAGAATTAGATTTTTAGATCGCATGATTGCATTCAAAATAAGAAAACGAAAAAATAACAGCATAATACGCGCGTGGTTTTTATTATAATATAAAAAGAACAATTACGATGAAGTCTTCTTTAATAGTCTATATTTTATATATTTTGAATAAAAAATAGTGCGAGCTACGTAAGTAAAAGAAGTACCACGCACTGATAATGGTTTTTGATTTGAAATATTACAACATTGGTATAAATATGGGAAGGAAAATACTCAGATTTATTGTTTTAATATTATCAAAGTGGCAAGGCCGATGATAATACTCACAATTTATGAAACTTCAAAAAAATGTATTATCCGTCAAAAGTTGTTTATTGAAACTACCTTCTTTTTTGTATCATGAAACTGAGCATTTGAAAACATGTATACGTATTCGTCAGTAGCTGAGTGTGCAGAGGAGTGTGCTACTATTTGTTAGCTTTCAGGAGGTCCCAGGTTCGAATTCTGTCAGAAGCAACACATTACAATTCTTTATTCAAATTGATTAATTATTCAAATTGAAATAATTGCTGAATCTTAAAATTGTTTTTTGTTTGGTTTCCAGTAACTATGAAAAAGTTTCTGTGAAGTTCATAATGAAATCGTTTTCAACGAAAAATTGAATCAGACAAATTTCAGGAAAACAGCCGAAAGCGCATCCGTTTTACAACCATTTTCGATAGTTTCCTGCACATACGTTTCGGCTGAACACTTTAGTGGGAGAATTGATCTGAAAAACGTCCGAAAACGGAATCGGAAAACGGATGAAACATCAGGTTTTTATATGAAATTGTTTCCATTTTCGGATACGTTTCCGGTATATGTGCATAAAAAAATATTTATGGATATTCATACAAAAAATTACCATTTATTTCAATTAAATTTGTTTTCACTTTGTTTGAATATTGTTGTGTCGACACATATATCAAAACCAAGGTGTATTAAACAAGGTGTGATTGACAACTCAATGAAGCTCCCTTTTAAGGTACTATTGTGTCAAAAAATATAAACAAGCGGTTCAAAATTCTTACAATGGCGGCATTTCTTTATTCATTCTGAACGTTTGGAATAAACTTTTTTGTTTACTTATTCTTTAGAACGTTCCTGATGATATGTTAACGTATATTTCAAACGCATTCTGTTTATTCCGGTAGTGATATGGGATTATCCGGAATGTATAAAGAAACGCAGCCAATATTTCTTCAATTTGACTTTATAGGCAGGTTCTTATCATGATAAAAAAAGAAGGTAGTTTCAATAAACAACTTTTGACGGATAAAAAAATTGTTTGGAGTTTCATAAATTGTGAGTATTATCAACGGCCTTACCACTTTGATAATATTAAAACAATAAATCGGAGTATTTTCCTTCCCATATTTATACCAATGTAATAATATTTCAAATCAAAAACCATTGTCAGTGCTTGGTACTTACTTTTACTTACATAGCTCGCACTCTTTTTATTAAAAATATATAAAATATAGACTATTAAAAAGACTTCATCGTAATTATTCTTTTTATTTTATAATATAAACCACGCGCGCATTATCCTGTTAGTTTTTCGTTTTCTTATTTTGAATGCAATCTTGCGATCTAAAAATCTAATTCTAAAGAATGTTCTTCCCAAATAAAACATTTTTATATTTTGGTTCAAATTTACTTTCATCTCTCATCAGATTTAACAAAAAATTAGGCTTTGTGATTAGCGTATCCCCATTCGCTTTCACAAATTTTGAATTCAAAGTTTCTAATGTATGCAAAAAACCTAAAGTCGGCTTGAACAGACCGCCCTCCGATAAACAATTAACATATCGTCGTATGAAGTACACAACACTCATATATGTAATACTTCTATATTGGCAGTAGGCTAACTTCTCAATGTGTAAGCATTCCGAAATCAAAGCGAGACAGTCTAGTATAGTTTTTGTCAATGTATTGTGTACTTGAGTGCCGTTTTTGTATATATTTTGTGTACATGTTTATTTATAAACGTATGTGTTCCTTTTCTTTCGTACGTTTTTATTGATATATCTGTACTGTAGTGTTTTCGGACGGTACTAGCTCTTACTGCCAATATAGGAGTATTACATATATGCAAAACACTGTATCAACAAAATGCAAAACTGCGTATGTGAGGTTACATAAATTATTTTCTAGAGAGTAAGCAATCTCATATTTCGAAATCATTCTCTTTTTTACAAAGCAATCGCATTTCTGTTTAGTATATTTCAGTTCGAATGGATAAGGCTTGAGCCAAGAGCTTGTGTGAGCAAATCCAATTTTTGGCAAAAAATGTCGGTTACGCGGTTTTGCAGAACGACGATACGCGGTTTTGTACTTTAAACGACGATACGTAAGTATCATTTTTATCACTTTTATCACTAACCTAGTCGTCAACCCCATTTTCGAAATTATGTAGCCGGCATAA